ATTTGTTTGGCTCTTTCTTGGAGGTGCTGGCCGCAGGGATGAGGGAGAGAGTGGGTGAGGATTTTTCTTTGTCTTGATCAAATGGGTGAACAAAACAAAAAGAAATGGGAGCCCATGTGTACCTTTGATGCCTTTCCTCTCAACTCCAACATCTCCCATCCCTCCCCTCTCCATCCAGCCGCCCAAGTCTTGAAAAAATGTGTCCACATTCGTGGGTTGGCCCCCACCCATGTGGGAGGTCAACCCCTTTTGCCCACAAGTGTACAATCAGTCCCGAAAGTTGTATTTTTCGGACTGTTTTAAATATATTTTATTTTATCGGTTCAAATAAAATATTTTGTGTGTTCTCCATCATCATGACCCTTATAATGAATATTCATTCCCCAACTTAAATTTATAAGTCCCCGAAATTCAATTTCGGGCATTTATCGGTTAATTTGCCAATACCGGTATTTGGGCCTCTTTTGACCAATCGGTTAACTCTGGACCATTCCATGGCTCAAATGAATTATCCACCACCATATAAACATTATCTAGACCAAAATGAATAGTTCATGTGGTCCCGGGAATATCAGGCGGCCCCCGCTCCCGGTGCGGGCCCCACGTGCGAATTTACTATTTGTGCAAAGGAATTAATAAAAATTCGGGACATCGTAAATTCGTTCACCATTTTAATAAGGTTAAAAATACAATATTCACTTAAAAGCAAATACATTTGGGGACGGTGTTACATCAAATAGCCGGAGCCGTGAGTAGGCTTGAAGCAAGGGATTCAGAAAAACTTCCTTCTCAAATAGAATGTGATCCTAAACAGCAAACTTTTGCAATCACATTGACAAATGAAAAGGAAATGCAAAAGGAGATCCAGAATCCAGAAGAAGTAGAAGAAGTAAAAGATACGGAGCTCCAACTGGTCAAAGAAGAGGATAAGCCGAGCTTCAAATTCAAATCTTTGTCATTGTCATCCTTTGAGGTATCTCCATCATTTCTGGAAGCTTTAAGAGAAACTCATAAACTTGAAAAGGACAATGACATTTCCGAAATCTTCTTCAAAATTGAGAGGTCGAAAAACTTTTCATTGACCATGCTAAACGATAGTTTCTTCCCCTCCCTCCCACATGAATCAATGAAAATCTGGATATTTGATCCTGGAAAGATTTTCAAAGTGAAGAGTCAGAAAATTGAGCATTCCTATGTAAGTCCTAGGAGTGAAAATGTGAAGAAGATGAATTATCACCATCCAAGCTTGAACGATTGAACACAATGATGGCGTCGTGCCGCGACGTTAAACGAGGCGCTTCTTGGGAGGCAACCCATGTAAGGTACGTTTACTTTTTTTTCTAGTTTAAGTTTACACTTCAAAAAAAAAAAAAAAAAAAGTGAAGCCTGGGGAACATACCCGGCCGGATACCACACTACACCCGGTCGGGTATAGCGTAAAAATACCATACCCGCACAACTCACCCGGGCGAGGCAGCTAAGGAACAGAAAAAAATAGACACACCCGACCGGGTACCCGGCCGGGCAACCCTGCAAAAAACTCTCTGCCTCGGGTGAACAGTTTACGCCCGACCGGGTCATTCACTATACCCGGCCGGGCGGTCGGGAAAAATCCCGATCAGGAGGCGGGCGGGTAGCTTTCTTCCTCACTTTCTTTTCCCCATTCGAACCGAACCCCAAATTTCCTCCATTTCCAAGAGTCCAAAGCTTCATATCTCCTACATCCATCCACCAAATGCATCAAGTAAACCCAATTCATTCATCTCCTCTTCACCCTCTTCATCTCCACACCCACAAATCACCAACAAAACCTCCCAAAAGTACCCAAAAAAAAAACGCATTCATCTCATACACAAGCACTAGGGACAGTGCTTTGATTAGCTTGGGGGGAGAGTTTTATGGAGTACTCACATTCATACTCTTTATTCTTATAAAAAACAAAAAACAAAAAAAAAAGCTTGTTGAGTTGAAAACCTGAAAGGGCAACTTAAGCAAAAATAAAGCAAAAATAAGAGTGAGTTGTGAGGATTGAAACAGAAAAATGTGGGAAGCTGGGATGAAAACCCTAAAGGGCACCTAGGCAAAATGAGAGAATGAGAGAAAGTATTTTCTTTTCTGCAGGATCCTAAGGGTAGCGGAAAAAAAAATGAGGTTGATAAGAAATATGGAGTTGAAGACCCCTCTTTACTCTTATATTTTTGAGGATATTTTTTGTGTTGTTCTACAAACACACGTGGATGTTGGTGTTGATACTTTTGTCATTTTAAGGACTTCTTGGGCTGGATTTTGTTTACTCGAGACGAGTAAAGGTTCAAGTGTGGGGGTGTTTGATATGCACTAATTAGTAGTGCATAAATGTGTCTTTTTATGTTTGATTTGTGTGGATTGTTTACCATTTTATTTATTTTATAAACATTTGTGTGATTTTAGTTGTAATTGTATTTTAGTTCTCATTTGTAAGTTGTAAAGTAGAGTTAGGATTTATGGTGTTGGAAAGGAAGACTTTGAATGTGAAGAAAAATAATTCTTGGCTGCCCAGGATAATCACCCGGTCGGGTGAGGTATTGCACCCGGTCGGGTGAGAAATTTAAATGCGAAACTGCTCAGGAAATTACATCACCCGGTCGGGTGAGGTATTTCACCCGGTCGGGTCCGACTTGACCCGGAACACCAGAACGTGCCGAAGATCGCCAGAACGTGGAAGATATTTGATTTTGACATGCACCCGGTCGGGTGGGCACTGTACCCGGTCGGGTACCCGGCCAAAGGTGTTGAAAAACACCTATAAATAGCCCCATTTTCCTTCACAAATCAATAATCCCTTCTTCCATACTCTTAATCTCAGTTTAGAATAGTATTTCTTTTATATTTTATAGCATGTTTAGTCTCCAAATGAGGAGCTAAACTTCCATTTCTTGGTGTTGCTCTTGAAGCTTGTTGATTATTAAAGTTGTGAGTTATTTTCTTAACTTCTTCCCTTGAATATTAATTATTCTCTTAATCTATCTCTATATTAATGTTGGGGAGTGTTGCTAAGATGACAATTAGTTAACATCTCGACATTAGTTATAGTAGTATTTATTTTCTTCCTCTATATATTAATGTTGGGGAGTGTTGCTAAGATGACAATTAGATAACATCTTGACATTAGTTATAGTAGGATTATTCATATTTAATCTTCTTCCTTGAATATTAATTCTTCCCTTAACCTATCTCTATATTAATGTTGGGGAGTGTTGCTAAGATGACAATTAGTTAACATCTCGACATTAATTACTACTAGAAACGATCAACGAACCGATGGTTAATCGTTGATGGTTTCACAAGTAAGTAACTTCGGTTTATTAATGCACGGTCGTGGTTAATAAACTTAAGAGGGATTAATTTTGTTGGTTAAACCGAAACCGTTGTGTTGAGGTTATCAATCTCAATTGATTTCATCAAGGAGTTAAGAGATTAAATGCTACTATTAAGTCGGTATATGGCGGTGTTCTATACATGACTAATAGTAAGGGTTATTAATGAACGTTCGTTGTTAATAACTACCCTCGATGAATTGGATATACTCCTCGATTGAGTATTCGAGAGGAGATTAGTTATAGATATAACAATGATCGACTAAAATATATCAACAAGTGGAAAGTAGCAATGCCAAGTCCTTTTTATCTTTAAATTAAGTTGTTCATCTTTATGTTTAATTAAGTTAAATCATTCAATCCCAAAACCCCCCTTTTTATTTACTAGTTTTATAAAAAGAGAATTATTCCTTTCCCTGTGGATACGAACTCTACTACGCTATACTACGTATAAGTGTTAGTATTGAATTTATTTGACGCACCGTGACAAAGTGCACGTCACACTAGACCTATTATATTGAGCATCGCGCCGTAATCTCTACTTCATATCTTTTAATTCACTTTCTTTTATATATTTTATTTTATAGAAACTTATTAAATTATATCTACAATCAATCCCTATGAAGTTCAATATGTGAATCAATATGTTATGACATTTTAAAAATGAGTATAACATCAGTATCGATTGAGCATATGTAGCTTACAAAATATAAGCATTAATATGAAAATAATAAGTTGTAACAAAAAAATCAGAAATAAACCATCATGTTGTTCTACTACGACTTCTATGCCACCTTGGATGAGAAGGAAAAAGGAGCAGTCGGAGATGATATCACCATTACAGCTGCGGCCGTGGCGGCGGAGGGCCGGAGGCAGTCTCAGTCGAGAGCGTTTCCTTAGTGAATGAATAGTCTCTTAGTCTTTTTGGCAATATAGTCTCACTATTGCCAAAACGAGCGAGTGTATAGCTCACTAATCATTATCTCTTAGTGAATGATTAGATGTGTGTGAAAGAGAGCTACGATAATTTAGATCTTTCTTAAATTATTCTATGTGCAATTAAAATCCTAGTGGTCATTCCAGGTTACAAAAGATATTAATTAAATTATTCAAACACAAATTAAATAAATAATCATGCAATCAAACCCTCAAAATTTCTGATAAGTTTTTCTGCCAATTTCACGCGGAAGACTCGCCAGAGCTCCGCCACCAATCGCCGCGCCAGATTGCGTAGCCACCACCGTGTTGCCCCGCCACCAACGAACTGTCCAAGGGAACAAGGAGACAATTAATTAGTTAGATTAGGGAGATTAAAGTTCTATTAATGTTTAGTCCTATTTGTAAAAGAATTAGATTTTAATCCTAATTGTGCAATTATGTTTCTATTTAGTCCTATTTAAGATAATTACTAATTAAATTACTCCGCGCGTAAGCGACTATATTGCTACTACCTTAGCTTTGTGATTCGATATGTCCGTGCATGCAGTGCGTAGGCATAAGATAAATGATGAGATCAAATTTGGAAACATTAAATTATATTCCCACTCGAGCTCAGAGTACAAACTAAACCCGAAAATCAAAACTCTCACGTTAAAATTAATTAAGTTTCCTAAATTTGGAAAGCCTCTAAGCCACCGGTGTGTATATGTATGTACCCAGATGCTACACTTCAATTCATCGATCGAATATTTACCCACTTCTAGCTGCAAAAAAAAAAAATCAGAAATAAACCATCATGCTGTTCTACTACGACTTCTTTGCCACCTTGGATGAGAAGGAAAAAGGAGCAGTCGGAGATGATATCACCATTGCAGCCGCGGCCGTTGCGGCGGAGGCAGTCTCGGTCGAGAGCGTTTCCACCGATCGAGCGCTGCCTTTCTCTGCACGACCCCGGCCCGCCTCTACCCTCAATCTTATTGATCGTCTCGGCAGCCTCCTTCCGAAAGATGAAGGTGAAACCCTGACTCTCCGGTTGTCACTGCCGGATTCTGGTACCAGTACTCTGACCACTTGGAAAAGAAAGATGTCGCCTCCATGCCCGGAGGCGACGCCCGAATCCAAGCGGTCAAGAACTAAGGCATCATCAAGAAGAGAAGGCAGAGACCTGCACCAGAACCCTTCTCCGAGAGCGAGTCTCGGAGAAGGAGGCGGGGATGGGCCGTGGGTGAAGAAGATGCTGAGCGCGAGCGACGTGAACTCGTCGTCGCGGCTTTTGCTGCCTAAGGCAGAGATCATGGATAGGTATGTGTTGCCTTCTCTGGACGAGGAGAAGGTGAGAGCCTGCCATAGCGGGATGGGGTTGAAAGTGAAGGTGACGGACACGGACGACCAGAAGACATACGTGCTGACCCTGTTGCGGTGGAAAAGCAAAAGCTATGTGCTGACCAGCAACTGGTCTGAAAGTTTTGTGAGGCGGAGGCTTTTGACTGAAGGAGACTCCATTGAATTGTCCTGGAATGCTCAAAACCTGGAGTTTTTCTTCCGCAAATTCACAAACACCGATAATAATAATAATAGTAATGTTCCTCCATCGACTTGACAATTAATTAGGTTTTGCTTTGACCGATATTTGTTCAATTCAATTATATTCTTTCTTTTTTCAAGTGTTTATTTTAAACTTTTAATCATATACTAGTATATATATACGTAGTATATATTGCTTGTGGATTTAATTGAAATAGTGAATAGTTACTTCAAAAAATTACGGAATTGGCATTATTTTCTCGCGAGTTGACCGATGACTTCGTGCCAAATAATCTAACCAAAATGATTTTGGCACGAATTCGTTATGAAGTTTGACTAATTCTTGCAAAAAATCTCTATCAATCACATACATGTTTTTTTATTGTGAGTTATAATTACACCTACATGTAATGCTACCTTCGTCTCAAAGAGGATTGGACATTTTTTATCAAACATTTCAATAACAATGCAATGGGGGGTCTTCGGTCTTACCAGTTAATTTAATTTATGGAATTCTTCATATTTTTTTTAGGATTTAAGAAATTACATGTCAACTATTAACATTTATATGGCCTGGTTTGAGTATCTCCAAATTTTGTGTCATTGACGTGATTAGATATATACTATGTCCTACGTAGTGATCAAATTTGGAAATTTTACCGGTTCAAAATTTTTAAAAAAAAAATTATTAACTAATTCTTAATGTTTTGTATCTATTTTTAAAAATTGTTTCTGACTTTTTGCTCTTCATTAATTAAGCAAAAGCATATATTGGAGTGATTCTACTTGCTCCATAGTAGTTTTTGAAAAGTCTGAGTTCATTTCTGAAAAAACTATTTATGCTTCGCAATGTTAATTGCCATTTACGAGTATTAAATATAAATGTTAGTGTAAATGTGGTTTAAATGTAAATGTAGATAAAAGTGTAAATATAAATGCAAATGCAAATGTAAATGCAAATGCGAATGTAAATATAAATGTAAATGTAAGTGTAAGTGTATATTTAAGTGTAAATATAAATGCAAATGCAAATGTAAACGTAAACATAAATATACATATAAATATAAATATAAATATACTTATAAATAAGTATAAATATACATTATTAATACTGATATTAATAATAATAGTTGTATTCATATTTATAATCATATTCATAATAGTATTCAGTGGCATAATTAGAAACATATTCATATTTATATTTATATTTATATTTATATTTATAAATAACAATATAAATGTCAATGTAAATATAATATGAAAGTGATATAGAGTTTTCATTAGCATTTAATTGTTTGTTATTAGTATGATACTATGATATGATTACTAAGAATGACCATCAAATTTTAGCGATTCAATAAGTACACCCATGAACCAGAAGACTATAAGTATACCACTAGTCCGTTGAATAGGGTGGGCGCGGGACGGGACGGTTCGGGATTTGACTTGTCCTGGTCCCGACCCAGTATTATAATAACGGTCCGGTACGGTTCGGCATAAGTCATTATCACAATGTTGTCCCATTTAAAACGGGACCGAGACATCCCGAGAAAAACCGGGACGATTCGGAACGTCCCATAAAATATACATTTGTGAAATGTGATATAAAAATAAGCATAACAACAAAATAAAGATGTAACTATTTTTGCAAATTTAGCTTATCTAAAAAGTTAAGTAAAACCTCTAATTAACTATTTTTAATTATTGTCTTATAACTTTTTTTGGTCCCCCTGAATCTTATGTTTCCTCGTAGAATAGTAGCGCAAAATATTTTTATACTTTGTAGTACACTTGTAACTTTTCAATATCACATTAAATATCATATCTATAAGGACTATATATATTTACTAGTTGTTATTTTGGAAAATATTAAATCTATAACAACACTATATTTTGGAGTAGTTGTTATTCCATCATAATAATATTTCGCACGTAATAATATATTACGGAGTAGTATCAGAATGAGAACTAAAGAAATTTAATCAAAAGAAACAAAAGAAACGAGACGAAGAGAGAGATGAAATACAATAAAATGACATTAGGGGACTAAGGGCTATAAAGTTTTAATTGGGTTTGACTTTTACATATCATTAGAAATTTAAAATAACCTACTATTTTCAAACGGGACACCGGGACGGGACATGATATTCTATAGTTATCTCGGTCCCGTCCTGGTTAATATCGGTACGAGACCGGTTCAGGATGAAAAAATTGCATCCTAAATGGATCGTGATAGTTTCGGAACGGTATCGGGATTTTTCGGTTTGGGACACCGGGACCGGGATTTTTGCCCACCCCTACCGTTGAAATAAAGCAATAGACCTGTTGCTTTATTTCAACGAATTGAAGGACATATTTGTGAGGACTAGGCCTGGATTCGGGCCAGTTTGGGCCTGGTTCGGGCCTGGGCCCAGCCGGGCCTCAGGCCAAGAAAGTTGGGCCCGAGCCCGAACCGCCGGTGGGCGGTTCCGGTTCCTAATATTTTTTTTTTTGCTCTTCTATTTAACCCCCAAACCCTCCCCCTCAACCCCAAACCACCTCAAATGGCCCAAAATACCTAATCCAACCCAAAACTTAAAAAAAATTAAAAAAAAAAATTAAAAACCGGCCCGAACCGGCCGGGCCAGTTCACCAAAAACAGGGCCCGAGCCCGGACCGCCCAGCAGCCGGGCCGGGCCGAACCGGGCCGGGCCGAACCGGGCCGGGCCGAACCGGGCCGGGCCGAACCGGGCCGGGCCGAACCGGGCCGGGCCGAACCGGGCCGGGCCAAACAGTAACCGGGTCGGGCCGGGCCGGTTCTGGGCCGGGCCGCCCGGCCCGAGTCCACCCCTAGTGAGGACTTTCGCTTCAAGAGTTTGGTTGCAAAATTTACTAAAGCATAAAGGGCTTCATTTTCCCTTTTCTCTTAATTTTTCTGTATGTTATTTTCAAATATTGATGATATTAATGTGAGTTTGTTCTTTTATTTTTTTAATATTCATGGGGTATAGTGGTATACATGTGTATTAATTATGCATGGACCGGGCCCAAGCCCGGGCCGGGCCTAACCGGGCTTTTTGGGGGATAGTTAAGGCCCGGAACCGGCCCGGTTATCCACCAGGTCCGGGCCGGTTTTCCACCAGTTCCGGGCTGGTTCATATTTCTTTTTTTTTTTTTTTTGCTTTTTCAATTAACCCCCAACCCCCCCCCCCCCCTCACCCCCCCCAACCCCCCCCCCCCCCCCCCCCCAAAAAAAACACCCAGCCTAACTCAGGAAAACCCTAAAATTTGGGAAAAGAAAAAATGGCCCATCCGGGCCCGGCCGGGCCGGTTCCTATTTTGCATGACCCGGGCCCGCCCTATGTAACCCCCGGGCTGGGCCTACCCGGACCGGTCTCTGACCGAGCCACCGGGCCGGTTCAACACAGTACTGGGCAGGGCCGGTTCACAGGCCGGGCGGCCCGGTTTCGGTCCATGCATAGTCTTAATTTTGCTTTATTAATTAATCATATCATACGAATACAGACTGAAATTTGCTTTATTGTTATACAATAATTATAAACAGGCCAGTAACATTTATTTTGCATCCGTTGAAACTTGAAAATCTTTCCAATTTGTTAATTCAATAACGCCGTAAAGTTATATGATAATCAAAGCTCAATGTAGGAAATACGTGGGTATGTGCCACTGAATTTTTTTACCAAGGTTATCTAGAGGTATACTAGTGCTTTACCCTACAATAATAAAAATGCACAAAATTGGTGATACAAAAATATGTATGTAGTAGCAGTAACTGGTAAGGCTTGAGACCACTATCTACATTCTAATATGTTCAGATACAAGTAGCAATGAGGCTTGATATCAATGCCTGGAGCATTTAGGCACAGGCTCATTGTCCAACGGTGAAGAGTTGCAACGCTTCATGAAGGAATCGAGCGTCTTTTGTTTCACGGGACTTTTATTTGAGTTACCTTGTTCTGATACTTCTAGGGACTTCTCTTCACCGTCGAGCATCTACAAAACCATGGTCATATAATTAGTCTGTGTTTGGGTATCAGTGTTTCGGCAAAAACCCCAGACAAAAACGCTTAAAACGCTGCAAATTGCAGCGGATTGGGCTGGCGTTTCCACACAGACAAAAACCTCACGAAGTGTTAGTTTGGAAGACCCACAAAGGCTGGCTCCTAATAAATGAGGTTATATTGCATGCAGGTATGTGGGTGTGTGTGTTAGTGTGTTGGGAAGGGGGAAGCTAAATGGGATAGGGAGAAGAAACCTGTCCCAAATTCTCCAGTTTGCTTTGAACGACATCCCTGGAAAAAGTTAATTGAGTTCACAATTTTAGATAAAACTTAGAAAAACTGATTATACACTTATTTGTACCCACTTCATACCCACGTCTCTGAAGAGACTATTTTTTGTCTATGAATAGCCTGTTCACAGATAATAATAAAAATAGACTAAACAGCCAAAAAACAGCCTGTTCACAGACGTGTATGAAGTGTGTACAAATAAGTGTGTACAAGAAGCAGGGTTGTAAAACTTATACCCTCGTTCTACAGTCAACTGTATCTTGGTAAATGTGTACAAAAATTTACAAACAAAAAAACTTTAACCAAGCACTGTAAATGTAGAGTAACTGAATAAAATCAGACATACCAAATTATGTCATCAACAGTGTCATTGGCCAGCAAATAGTATATATTCACCGATGATACCTACGATAAGGTAGAAACGTTGTATACTCCTCACAGTTTAAACTGTTCATCTAAAATAATGGAAATAATGGATGTGTATTCACATACATACATACATACATACATATGTGTGTACATATTTAGGATTACACAAGTCTATACCACTATTGCGCAATGTGTTGAAATACATATACATGTGTGTGTATATACATACATATGCATGTCTATATGTATACATATATATACATACACATAATGGACGCATATAAACACAAAAACAGTGCAGAGAATGAGTGACGCAGTAAGTGTGGTGCAAGAACGGAAGTTATGTAGTGGTTACAAATCCTTAAATAAAAACCATAGATTCTTTTTTTTAATAAAACAGAGATTCTTATATATCAATATGCTAAATCACCTGGCCAATTCTATGAGTGCGATCTTCTGCTTGAATAAGGTCACCTGGAGTCCAGGATAGCTCTGCAAATATGACTGTGCTTGCTGCTGTTAAATTCAATCCAACACCTCCTGCTTTAATAGATAGCTGAAAAACCAAAATAGTTTATAATGAACACTCCAATTATGGCTCGATATGTCAAATTATATATACGATGATCATAGGGAAACAGATAGGATGGGATACAAAGCAGAAAACATTGTGAATGGAAGGAAGAACTGGAAGTACCACAGCAGCCTTTATAGATTCTTTTTCCTGAAAATCTGTAACCAAAGCTTGTCGACATGATGCTGGAGTACTGCCATCAATGCGAATGCAACCAACTTTCTTTTTCTATACACGTTGTATGCCATCTAGTAAGAACATAGTTCCTAAAAATATTTCATTTAGAGGTAATTACTAAGATTCTTACAAGCAAATACTGGTGTATTGAGTCAATCATTTGTAGGTGGTGGGCAAATATAAGGAACTTGCAGTCTGCCTGTCCAGTTGAAAATAGCTGAGAATTAAACACAGCTTGAAAACAAGGAATATGAAAAACACAGCATGTGTATGTCCCAGGAACGCAGACGTCAGAACCTGAAGGAGTACAAAAGAAATCTCTAGGTACCAGGTAGTGGAACAAAGAGAAGTTGTTAGCTACACATGCATGTATGGATTGTTATATTATCCAATTCCAAAGCAGAACAAAGCAGTTTTGACCAAGACTTCAACTAGATGACTTGTTTGCACTAACCAAACTAGAAATAGAAATAGTACTAGAGGTGGTTTAGAAAACTACTTATCTAGTAGCTTTCCGATTTCCTTGCAATGAGAATAAAAAGAAAAGTTTGAGAGCACGTAATTGGGGCTGAGAGCAATGGATAGAAGGTCAACATACCTCAATAACTGTTGCTAAGTAATCCAAAACCGATGGAATCTTTCCCTCCGCAGAAGCAATATACATCTTGATAGCAGCAATAATACAATATAGGAAATGAAAAGGGTCAAAACGATTTATCCTTGGAGAATATAGAAAAAACGAAAATAAATCACATGTATGCAGTAGAAAGAATTTGGAATAAGCAACAAAAATTAATGATTAAGCAGTAGAATGGAATCAAATTCTGAGCACTTTAAGATGAGTAATATTCAATTCAAATAGTTTCAAATTGACATTGTAAGTTTCGATTTAATGTTGCAATCAGCTAGATCCATATGGCATTTCAATCCACGTATTGACTTATACAAAATGACATCAACTATCTCAACTCATTGTTGTCTAGTGATATTTTCTATGAAGTGGAAAAAACCTATGATGAGAAGGACATCAGGGCATCTGACATAAAAAACTATCACTAATCTTTTTACATGCCCTTGTAGTGTTAAATAACTTTAGCTCATTCATGAATTATAGAATACCAAACTTATCAAAATTCAAGTACATTAAATTTCAAAAACCAAAAGTTTATTATATCTGATATAGAATGGATATGAGAAAAAATGAATCAAAGTACCAAACTGAAAAAGAACAAACAAATACTATTTTATCTATAATTTATAAATAAAAATATAATAAAAAACTGGACTTATCTGTGACCAAATGGATGGGAAGTCATAATCTAATTAACCCATTTAGGATGAATTGAAACTTAAGCTTAACCTTTAAAGACAAATACAACTTCTCTCCAGAGCCAAAATTATGTCAAAAACTTAAGCTTAACCTTTTAAGACATCAACAACTTTGTTGATGTCTGAACTGGTTATCAGCGACATGCAGGGAGGATTGAACTCATTAGTTGAATTAATCATAAGACCTTAGAACTTGACAACTACATTAACAATGTAGTTGGAAGATTTGAACAATCATCAGTAAGTGAAGGGCACAAACTGATGGTCATAGCAGAAAAATGGGTCATTTCAGCGTCAACTAGTTGAAGAAAGGGCATAAAAATGCTACTCAGATAAAATATAGTATACTAAGAGTATAAAACTGAATATGACTGCAAGAAGGAAGTGTTGCACAAAAAGCATGTAATAAAAAAAATTTGAAACCACATATGATTTCTTCCTGCATACAACTCATTTGAGAACTTTAAGTTGCTATAACATATTTAAGCATTGAAATAACAAGTACCTTATTTATAAGATTCTTCTCGGTGAACTTAAGTGACTCACGATCATCCTTGGATTGGCTTGATTTAATTTTTTCTTTGACAATTTCCAACTACAGAAAGAATGTCAGATTAGATGGAAAATCTCCATGCTATGAATACAACTGCATGTTGTTTTCATTATCATTTTGGAATATATAATGCATCTATTTTGACTTTCCACCAAAACTGCTAAAATCCAAAGAAACAGAACTGCTATGATTTTAAGATGTCTAGGTAGTAAATCCATAAAAAATAGGAGCCCTTAGTGTGATTAAGTTGATGCAAAGTTAGCAGAAATTTCACAGGAAGAGAATCTTTAAAGGTTAGAGGTTAGCAGCTGTTGAAAAGCCAGGGAAGACTGCAGAATATAGGCTTCACTGCAGAATAAATTGAAAATAGAGGAAACCATATTTAAATTGTTTCGGTAGAAAATTCCCTAAATAAGAGCATAACATAGCACATCTCTTCAAATAAGAGTTTCACAGTTTTGTTCCAAAATAGGGCTCATTCACTCCTATTTTGGGAAGGTTTTATTGTTTTATTCTTTAATAGGACTATATGAGTCCTGTTTTGGGAGTAATACATACTTAGTGCTCCTCTATCTCTCCACAATCAACTATGGAGGTGGACAAGACAAATAGCAAACTGTTCTTTTAAGCTTTAAGTAATGCTATTCTGCTCTACAAGATGAAAAGAGCACTAGCCATCAAATGCGATAGAAGATATTTGTTTAATTAAATGCATAAAAATCAGGAAAGTTCATTCGGTGAATGGATAAAGTCAAGGAAGAAGTGGTGCTCTGTAGAAGAAGAGAGAAAACTATTAACTTGCTATAGACATAGATTAGGCTTTGCAGGATCACCATAAACACGAGAAATTTACTTTGAAACAACAGTGCAACTTATTTCAAAGCATTTGACCATTCAAATTTGCAGGAGAAAAAGAATTTGCTGGTCAACAATTTCATCCCGCATATACTTTTAAAAAGTTTACTACCTCACGGAATAAAGCATTGATACACTTCATCTCCTTTTCTTCCACGTTTAAGAAAACCTGAGAATGAGTTTTAGAAATTGAGATGAACACAAATAAGAATTCCAGACATAGCATATCTCATGTTACAGGAATTAGTTTAGTTAAATAATAACAATACTAATCATAATAAAGTTTAAGTATTCCTTATATTCAAGACTTCATGTACAAGAACAACCCCAAGAACTGCTTGATAAATGTTAGTACCTGTTGCCTGCGCTTTACTGGAAGCTGCGGGAGAACATCCTTTTTTAGTCTGCGAATCATGACAGTTGCTTTCATCAAGTTGTGCAGCTCTTCATGATTACTGGCCCCTTGATAAATTCCAAAAGTGCCCTAGAATCATTAACAAAGAAGGTAATCATAATTCGTGAGGTAGCAGTCTCAAGATGATTATGTTTGACAATAAAGGTTACTAGCAGCTCGCTAAAGCAGTAAACTTACACCCTTGCAATAACGGTTACCATACTCGTGAACATTCTTGTAAACATCAGGATATAGAGCCTCCAGCTGTGAAGTACAACAATGTTAGTGCCAGCAAACAACAATTTCGAACACAACAATATAACTATATGAAGTTACTTGTCCAAACATACCTGTTTAAAAAGCTCAATTGGTCTTGACAAAGCAGGGGTTCCACTAAGCAGTATCACATATTTGGCTTTCTATAATAGTCAGTAATGTGAGTTCATCAATGAAAATCAAGCTCCCTTAGTTTAATAGAATGAAGAGCCCACAATGAGCCTTTGAAGGATGGGAAAAGGGTTGAGTACTTGACTCTCACTCAAGTGCATTGTTTCATAATCTATTTGATTATCATTTTGCACTCTTTATTTTTAGAGAAACCCATACCGCCATACGCAAGAGAAAAGATACATTATTATGATATTATCTATCACTACTGAAGGGGATCACAATATGACACTAATACGAGAAGTCAGACCTAGTGGGCAAGGCCTAAATTCACCAAGTCTAAGAAAATGAGATGCATGCAGCGCTTGACATTTTTGTAATAACAAACAAGCATCGGGCTAAGTTATAGATTTGGTTATATAAAGCATATGGGAATGAGTGAATGACAGACTACAGCTGCTTCCAGATTTGGTTATAACTTTATGCACGCATCACTTTGCTTTAAAATATAACTATAGATACAATAAATTTGCAGAAACGTATGATTTTTTGCGATATACACGTGCGCTGAACACATATTTCCTGACATGTCATAAACACATAAAAGGGTTTTTTATATAGTTCTTTTTCCCTTTTTAACAAGCAATTACCCGCATTACAGGAAGGGACGCATTGGTCCGTTTAGCCTGGGCATTCTTCAAGAAGTGTGATTCATCAGCAATAACTACCTGAACGCACAGACAGACATTAGTTGAAAAAACGCAGAGTAACCAAAGAGTTTTTTCAGAATAATCATTCTAACAATTTATCTCCCTTGGGAAAAATTATCACTAAATTATTTTATCAGATATCTGCAAACACAAATCTTGAATGAGTGCTAATGATATGTTGAGGGGGGAGGAACAAATCACACACTTTTTAATAGCATTAAATAAATAGAGCACAAGACATCTCGTATAGAAAGCATTCAGCTCATGTTAACCAGGGAGAAACCGGATCCTATAAGTAAGAATTAGTTGGCGAACAATTTCATGTCATCGTCCAAGAATGCACGCTGGTGAATCAGGGAGCAATGAGCTCCTAAAGTAACATAAATAGTTGGTCAAGAATTCCAATTTATCTCCCTATTCATGATGCCATTAAGTTAAGTGTTAAAGCACCAATTACCTTGAACTCTGATGCCATTAAGGTATCCTGCAGCTTAGGAACAGTGTCATAAGAAACTATATTAAAGAGGCCATCAAGTTGGATGGATCTCTTTGAATTGGAAGGCACCACTTTGAATCCTGCCCTATTTGAACCACTAACTTGAGATAATACCACCTGCTCATGGGTTAAATAAAATTTACTGGCATGGAAAGTTGAAAAGGATCTTTATAGGTGCAGATGAAGAATATTTGGAAGATATACAAAAGAAAGCATTATTATCATAAATTTATAAATATAAGTTGAGCACTGGTTGGAGTCATCTATTCGAAAAAAAATTTAACTTGATGGTAAAAAAATAGGAAGCATCACTGGAAAAAGTTAAATGGATAACAATTACTCGAAAAGCATTCTTCCGTTTTTTTGTCCAGACTACCAATAATACCAAAAGAAGGAAACAAATCTCCAATCTATTTACATTTACAAATCATCTAAAACCTTTTGTTTATCAAGAACAGCAAAAGCACTATGTTGCCCCAACTTATAAGTGTTCTCATGACTAAAGGTTTTATCTACAATCATAAAATATTAAGATGATATATCACAGTCAATGCTTGAAGTCTTTTCAAACCCACTTCGTTCACATGCTTATATAGTTATACGCGCAGTAGATCATTAAAACCTAGGGGGGAAATAAGATTGAAAACATGACATAGCTATCTTTTCAGGTAAACAAATGGAAGTCAGAGTCTTGAGATGGTCTAACAAACTCAAATTAAGCGTGGTTAGGCATAATTTACATATCCTCAGATTTAGAACTTAATACGGGAACATACAAGTATATCTGAAGGAGAAATATCCAGCCACTGTTGAATCATCTGCAAGAATTCCTTAAAGCTATGAGTATTGGGTATGAATCTAAAGAGAAAGGTATAATGACATCACTTACGGAAGCCCAATGCAGACGCAACGAAGATGGAGTAAGAATAAGAACAGGCCATGATTCACGGACACAACAACTTACAGCAATGGCCTGCACTAAATAGCACAACTTCTATAGATATGCTTATGAAAAAAGGGCAATGAAAAGTCTTGGCATACAATAAGTTGCTAAGGCAGTATACAATACATAAAATTGACGGCTGCCAACTAGGGTTTCAAGCGGATATGATAACAGAACCTGGTAAACTAGACATCACACTTCCTGAAGAGAATATAAGAATAGACCACTCATTGTGGATTTTATAAAAGTTATTTTTCTGCTTTTTTCAACACTTATCTGCTGTTGTTGTCAACATCAAACAAAAGAGATGAAATTAGGAAAGGGTCTTATATTAGAATACTATGTTAGTACATTCAATCGTATGTCAACCAATCAGTATATTAGCTCATTTAATTGGCAGTTTGGAGAGAGTAGTTTAACTTGAGCCCCTTCAAAAGGTCAGGGGGGCAAGCTTAGGACGCTTGAAGGTGCGGACCTTTTGTCACACTAGCCCAACTCCCAGCATCTCCAATTATTGCACAGCCATTAGATTAGTTGAAAAGATAATGATAAGAGCCATGAAGATATTGAATCAGTTTACTTGAAAAATAAATAAAAAGGGCTTTGTGATAAATTCATTTTCAAGAATAACTGGAGGTAAAGAACTAAAAGCAAAGGTATATATATTTCAATCAACAGACAGGGATACCAAAAATGTGGTTTGAGACACCTGAACCAGAATCTGTACACCATAAGTGCACTTTTTAGAAACCCTAATCATTGACAAGATCCAGAGTTACGGTAACATTGGTATAAACAACAGAAAAAATAAGGGCTTTTTATAAAATGTGCTAACAAGAGCGGGGCACAAAATGTATACCACTCTGATCGTCGAGGGTGGAGAGCATTCTATGTAAGTGGTTTTGTTGGAAGGCTGAGAGAAAAAGTAGATTGCGACCAAAACAAAGATTTAAGGACAAGCTCTTCGGTGACTGTGGTGGCTCTCAGTGACTTCCAACTTTTTTCTATCAAGCCACTGGAGGATGAAGACACATCATGTCACGCGGGGTGGTCAGATGATTGCTTAAAGAGTGGATCTGAGAGAAAACAAAAAAACAAAAAGAGTAGCTCCCCATAGTAAAGGCTCATGCGGTGAAGTCCTACAATGGCACTCGTATAGAACAGATAGCACAAGGTTCCGAGGGTGATGTTGGTTCCCTCAAAGCAATCACCAGATAATAGACAGAACAGTAATATAGCTGTGAATCACTAAGAGGTGTTGAGAAAACTAGTACATTGAACCCTGTGGAAACCCTAGTAGTATTGGGCTTAGCCCATTTTGTATATCTTGTATAGGAAACCCTAGTACTCTAAATATAGCTATAAATATAGCTTCTTGTATAGGATTTCATATGAAGTATAATGAATACAATCTTATATTTCACATGGTATCAGAGCCTATACGGCAAATATAGTTAGCTAGTTAGCCTTATAAACTGCCGCTCCGAATCAGGACAGAAGTTCAGGCCATAATTTCCGGCGTGAATAGTGGTCGCAACTCACTTGAGTGCTTTTGGTAGTGATACAAGCCTACCATCGTGCTCAACTCTACATAGCGACTTACCGCCGGAAGTTTTGCCGCCGCTGCCTCACCCACGCGCCGCCGTCGGTCGCTGAAAGTCCGCACCTGCAGGTACACATCTTTGCAGATCTGCTCCGTCTTAGTCATCTGCGAGCGACACCGACAGGTTTTTCAGATACCTAGGTCCCTGACGACCTAGACCAGTCAGTCCGGTCCGCCGCCGCTTCCACACGAGCCGCCGCCGCTTCCACGCGCGCCGCCGCCGTCGACCGCCGTCTCCCTGTGTCGTACGCTCGCCGCAGCCGCCCTGCAGTCTCCCTGCGCCGTCGTCCGCACCTCCCAAAGAAGATAGAGGTCTGCTTTCTTCATCCTTGTGTAGCTACAGTGCTTCAACCTGCTGCCTGCTGCCTTCAACCTGCTGCCTGGGAAACCTTACGGCTGCTTCACTTCAATTTAATTGCAGTTGCACTACTTTAAATATTTTATTTTTTGCTGCTCTTTAAAAAAAAAAAGACAAAAAATAAAAAGAAAAAAAAAGAAACAAAAATGTCTTTTATGAATTCTGACGGAGGAAACAACACCGGATTCTCAAGACGGAACCGTCCTAAATGTGATTTTTGTCATAAAATTGGTCATACTAAAGACAGGTGTTGGAAATTACATGGGAGACCTCCTACCCCAGTCACCGTTGGTCAGATCCCACCATCTCCCATTGTTCTGTCTCCAGAAGAATATGCAGCATATCAGCAATTTAAGTTGACTAATATGCCATTATCTACAACGGGGATGTCTACCGCTTGCGTTTCAAACACAACAGGCTCATGGATAATTGACTCAGGTGCCTCAGACCATATTTATGGTAATCCCAATCTTTTATCCCATATTACCAAGCACTGACATCTTCCTTTGATTACTCTTGCTAATGGCCTTCAAACTTCGGCTTCGGGTATTGGGCAAGCGCTTCCACTTTCATCCTTACCATTAGACTCAGTCTTATATGTCCCAAACACCCCTTTTAACCTTGTCTCTGTCAGTAAAATTACACGTGCTCTTAATTGTTCCGTAACATTTTCTGCTGATTCTGTGATTGTGCAGGACCGTTGTACGGGGAAAACGATTGGCGTCGGCCATGAATCTCAAGGTCTATATCACCTCCATCCTCTTGATCCAATCGCTTGTGTTTCAGTTGAACCTGCTATTACCTTACATAATCGTCTGGGTCATCCTAGTCTCTCAAAGTTTCAACGTATGGTTCCAGGTTTCTCCAATCTTTCATCTTTAGATTGTGAGTCATGTCACCTTGGAAAACAACCTCGTAAATCCTTTCCAAGGCGAGTCAATAACCGGGCTACATCACCGTTTGATTTAGTTCATACAGATGTATGGGGTCCGTATCGAGTCACTTCTACTTTAGGTTTCCGTTATTTTGTTATTTTTGTGGATGATTTTTCCCGTTACACATGGTTGTTTTTAATGAAAGAGCGTTTTGAATTGTTTCATATTTTTCAAACTTTTTGTGCTGAAATTCAAACTCAGTTTGGTCATTCTATCAAAATTTTACGCAGTGACAATGCTAAAGAATTTTTTGGGGCATCCTTTAATCAATTCATGACATCACGGGGTATGCTTCACCAATCTTCTTGTGTTCACACGCCTCAACAAAATGGGGTTGCTGAACGCAAGAACCGGCACTTGGTTGATACTGCTCGTACCCTATTATTACATTCCCATACACCACCTCAGTATTGGGCAGATGTCGTGCTCACTGCGTGTCACTTAATAAATAGAATGCCTTCCTCAGTTCTTAATAATGAAATTCCTTATTCTCTTTTGTTTCCTGCTCGTAATTTATTTCCATTACCACCTCATGTGTTTGGGTGCGTGTGTTTTGTCCATGATACGACACCAGGATTAGCTAAAATGGCGGCTAGGTCAATAAAATGTATCTTTCTTGGATATTCGCGACTCCAAAAGGGGTATCGTTGTTATTCTCCATTACTTAAGAAACATTTTATTTCAGCCGATGTCGCTTTCATTGAGTCGTCCTTTTATTATCCATTATCTTCAGTTAATACCCCATCATGTTTGGACTTCACCTCATATCTTCGGCCCATCCATCAGGAGCCTCCCATTAACCCCCATCTGATGAGCACCCAAACTGCCCTCCTATGTCAGATCGTCCATTACAGGTATACCATCGACGTCCTCGACCTCCTCCCATTGAGCCCATCGTGGCCACGCCCGTTGATTCCCCTATGACGGATCCTGCATCACCACCATCACCTACTCCAGCACTTGACACCACTCAGGATAATTTGCCAATTGCTCTCCGAAAAGGTACGCGTTCCACATTGAATCCACATCCCATATATAACTTTTTGAGTTATCACCGCCTCTCTACCCCTTACTATGCCTTTATTTCCCACCTATCTCATATATGCATTCCTAAAACCACACATGAGGCACTGGCACACCCGGAGTGGCGTAAAGCCATGTTGGCTGAGATGGAGGCTCTCCATTCTAGTGGGACATGGGACTTAGTCCCCCTTCCCACTGGCAAATCAGTGGTGGGATGTCGGTGGATTTACACGGTTAAAGTTGGGCCTGATGGGGAGATTGATCATTTTAAAGCACGCCTTGTGGCGAAAGGGTATACTCAGATATATGGCTTGGATTACACAGACACTTTTTCTCCTGTAGCGAAGATTGCATCAGTTCGTTTGGTTTTATCCATGGCAGCCATGAGCCGCTGGCCATTGTTCCAATTGGATATTAAAAACGCATTCCTTCACGGAGATCTGCACGAGGAAGTGTATATGGAGCAACCACCTGGATTTGTTGCTCAGGGGGAGTCTAGTATGGTGTGCAGATTACGTCGTTCATTATATGGCTTGAAGCAATCTCCACGTGCATGGTTTGGGAGGTTCAGTGCCGTTGTTTGCAGCTTTGGCATGATTCGCAGTGATGTTGATCATTCTATATTCTACAGACATTCTGCTGGCAACAAATGTATTTATCTTGTTGTGTATGTTGATGGCATTGTCATTACAGGTAACGATGATCAAGGAGTTGTGCTCCTCAAGCAACATCTGTTTAGCAAATTTCAAACAAAAGACTTGGGAAAGTTGAGATACTTCCTTGGCATTGAGGTTGCACAGTCTCAAGATGGAATTGCTCTCTCACAAAGAAAGTATGCCTTGGATATTCTTGAGGAAACAGGTTTGCTAGATTGTAGGCCAGTGGATACACCAATGGATCCGAACGTTAAAATCTTATCAGAACAGGGAGATCTTTTGCTCAACAACTCAACAAGGAAAAATATAGAAGACTCATCGGAAAATTGAATTATCTTACCATCACGAGACCAGATATTTCATTTGCGGTAAGTGTTCTTAGCCAGTTTCTTGATAAGCCATGTACTGGACATTGGGATGCAGCTATTCGAGTTTTGAGATGCATCAAGAAAACTCCAGGGCAAGGATTGTTGTTTGAAGATCAAGGCCACCGTGATATTGTGGGATACTGTGATGCAGACTGGGCCGGATGTCCGATGGATAGACGTTCCACTTCGGGATATTGCATCTTGATTGGTGGAAACTTAATTTCATGGAAAAGTAAGAAACAGGATGTGGTTGCCAGATCTAGTGCTGAAGCAGAATATCGTGCAATGGCCCTTGCTACCTGTGAAATCTTATGGTTGAAGCATCTCCTCCAAGAGTTAAAATATGGAAACACAAAACCGGCTCAACTCATGTGTGATAATCAAGCCGCAATGCACATCGCATCAAATCCGGTATATCATGAGAGGACAAAACATATTGAAGTTGATTGTCATTTTATCCGAGAGAAGATCACCAGTGGACATATCATCACAAAATATGTGAACACAACTGAACAACTTGCAGATATTTTAACCAAGTCTCTTAGAGGTCCTAGAGTAGAATATATTTGTAACAAGCTTGGTACATATGATTTATATGCTCCAACTTGGGGGGAGTGTGGAAACCCTAGTAGTATTGGGCTTAGCCCATTTTGTATATCTTGTATAGGAAACCCTAGTACTCTAAATATAGCTATAAATATAGCTTCTTGTATAGGATTTCATATGAAGTATAATGAATACAATCTTATATTTCACAAACCCAAAAGAAATAGTGGCCTAGTATGAGGCTCTAATATTTTATTAGAGCAGTCAGTCAAGGATTAGACAGTCTTATGACCAACATAATACTGCAATCACATAAATGGTGATTGAATAACATGTAGAATTCACGAGGTTCAACATAGATAAATTGAGCCAATGAAAGCTGAGTATACACCATTTGAGATAGTTCTTTCTTATTTTAAAGAAAAAAGTGAAAATATAAGTGTGAGACTGAGGTTTCATTTCACTTCTTTTATTTTAGATCTTGAACAGTTGAACAGAAAATGGTGATTAAACTAACCTTCTTCATTTATCAGAAAAGATAGCCACGAATTGGGAAATATAGATAAAATAACATCAACTTGATGAAAATTTAAAATGCATCACTTCTAAGCTACAACATGGTTTAACTACGCCATAGATTTTGTCAAAGGAATACCACCTGAAGTGTCTTCCCAAGTCCCATTTCATCTGCTAAAAAGACACGTGCACCATGTTGCAAGGCAAATCTGGGAGAATCAACATTATTAATTCTCACAAGTGAACTTGTAAGAAAAAAATAAAACAGGCACATGCCCCCCCCCCCCCACATACCGTACTCCATCACGCTGAAAAGGCATAAGCTTTGTTTCAATGCTTTCGGGAATGCATTTATAGCGATCTTTGGGACCCAGAAAGAGGGAAACGGTCAGTATGCTTAAAATAGTACTGCATAAGATTACAACTCCATCTACTCAATTGAACTAACTCAACTAAGCCTAACCCCTCCCCCCCCCCCCCCCCAAGTATTTACTTCTCCAAAAGAGATTAAGGTTTATAAGTCACACGGTTTGAGAAGTCAAGAGTTCTGCTTATCTCTTGTAGATAGGAGAGGATACGAGAGATAGAGAGAGAAGCTCTCATCTTTATTATTTATCATTCATTTCTTATCCAATCTAACAGAAGGGTGACTCAGCCCTAATAGTTCTGATAATTACAATACTACCCCTCCAAGCTAAATAAAGTAAACAAATAAGGAAAACTAAAACTCAGGAATCTTCAAGAAGAGATTATGAAAATTACATTACAACATAGGAGAGTAGGATAGAGTGACCACCAAAACAAGGACTTCCCATTTCAGCTAATCATCTTATATAAGAAAGAAATAGTAATCTAGGATAACTACTAATTTACCTTGAATATCACAAACTTCATTGACTGCAGCAATAGCACGCCGCACCAATGGGTCCAAGTTTTCAATCTAAAACAACAATCAGCTATGTTCAAGATATTAATCACAAGATTTCTAAAAGAACGTAACATTAACATGCACTTCATCCATTTGAACCAACACCCATGTGCAAAATGATACTATGTATAAAATTGGCAGAATTAATTTGGAGAAAAGAAGGCAAAGTGTATTATGTATATAACCCACCTCTACATTTGCACAAGGAATTTCATTTAGGACTTTCTCTGCTGATGGTAACGATGAAAGAGGGAACATCCACAATCTACGAAATTAGACACACGTGACAACTAGTTAGACGTCATATATAGTTGATCCTCCAACCACAATTAACTATTTGTCTTCAGTCATGGGGCTGATGCAAACCCCAAAACGTCTAAAACGAGGGAATTACATTGGAGGAATAATGCAATGCTCCATACTTAAAAGGTCAAGAGATCAACCTTTTTCATTTTTAATTCAAAATTCTTAATTCATGCGAGTATAAACCAAGTAGGGCAGACTCTTTGTCCTATTTGAGTTGCAAGTCATTTTGGATCCCTAGATTTGTGTCTCATACTTTGATGTACAGTAATACTGTTTTGTATGTTTTTAAGTGTGGTCTAATAAACAAGGCTCCATTTCAGGTGGTTTAAATTTTTCGATTTTCAGTTTTCAGCTTAAAAAAATTAACAAACTTATGAGGAGTCTTTTGGAAACAAGGGAAACTGGTTTTGCCAGGTTTAAAAATTAACATGATTAATATAAATATGAGTGGTTTTAGTTCATAATCAAACATACCCTGTTTATCATATAACTTTTAAAATCATTATGAAACCAAAAAATGGCAACCACCCCATTTACAGGGATGATTGACCTTTCTTTCTTTAATTTTACACATCCCACTTTGTAAAAGCTAAAAGTAGCAGTTAATTACACATTTACGGTTTGTTAAAAAATATGTCGCTAAAGTATATTTTGAATCATTTGGCTAAAACATGTATTCTGGGATATGATTATAAACATATAAAGTACACTTCGACTCTCAAGGATGTTAATATGATATGCTTAATTACTATGGACTTCTCATCAAAGAAATCTTAGGTGAGATTTAAGTTAAGCTTCTGAACATGATCATCATGAAAATGTATATGTATCATATTGCAAAGTCGCATGCCTAACTGCCTGAAAAGTTGCACACCGTGAAGAGAGGGGTAGGAACCACGGATTAGTGTTACCTTTCTTTTGCATTCCAACCAGCTTTAGGTACTTTACGTATGGCGCCAATGAGTAGCTGGGGTACAGCAAGAGCCAAGTGCACAAGAACAACATGATGTAATGATGTAATTATTTTAAGTAAATGTAGAAGATCTTGTGAGAGACAATTACCTGGTCATACAAAAACTTTGCAGCTATATTACCACTTGCATGGAGGAAAAGTTTAATAAAACGTTTTTGCGGCTTTCTTGAGAAACTATCTTCATGGTGCCCCGTGTTTCCACCAGAATCTTTTTTTAGATAGAATCATTGTGGAGGAAGTTAAATAGAAGTTATATACCAACTTAATCAAATATGAAATATGCAAGGATCTACCAGCAGTTTTAGTTGCCCCAACTGATGTCATTAGTCTTGGTGGTCCGGGTTGAGAAACTTTCTGCACAAAATAACGGAAGAGAATAAAGCACATAAAGATTTGATACATCTTTTCACTATAGAGAATGAACAGAAATAATAATCATCAAAGAAAAAGATGAACTCGTACGAAACCCGAACTCCAGGCACATCAGCACAAGTATACCTCTATGAATAATATCACACACTACAGCTAACATTTGTTTCAGTTAAAAGTACAGAGTAGAAGACAACCAACTAAGTTCTCAAAATGAGTCACCAGTAAAAAAACAAAAAATAGTCGATAGTCAACACGCAAAGAATAGATATTTATAATAACCGGTGTCAATAAAGGGGGAATAATAGATATTTCCATTGACAAATTCCAAATAAACTAAAAAATAAAAAGTTGATAAATATCAATACGAAAATGATGAATGTACATTGTACAACTAATAGTATTGTATCAAGCCATTTTGATATTGCACATATATTTTATTACTACTTTGTTAGTTATTACTGTCAATTTATCTAAATTCAATGCTGAATTTAAAAATTAAAATTTTTATGCAGACTATATCTTTCCAAAAATAACATTTGTAGCTAGAATAGCATTTATAAGATTTAAATGCTATTCTAATCACATTTCAGTAAAAGGCTGATACCAATATTTTTCATCCATGTGCCTGTCAGGCATATAATATGCTTACACATTGAGAGTAAATAAATTAGTCCAGGGCATAGGGTGACAATCATGCTAAATCATGCCAAATAAAATGAATAGCAAAAAACAAAAACTTTGGTCAGTGGTGCAAATGATGAAATGAAAATGGTATAATCAAAATTGCATTCTGAAGAGCAAGGAAAGACCTGAGTATTGTGCAGTGAGGAGGTAGGAGCATAAGATGATGAGTTGCGCTGAGCAATTTGTTTCAGGGCATCACGCTCCAGAGAATCAAGCTCCTGTGCACTTGGTTCCCACTCGTCCAATTCCATAGAACTAATTTGTTTAGTCGGAGTGCTGGGATGGGAATTTACAAAAGGAGTAGCGTTCAAATAAGCCGATTAACTAAATAGGAGAAGACACTATACATATACGATATACCCATGAACTAAACTAATTGGGTGGGAGAAGACAAATACGTCTAATGAGGCTAGAGAGAGGTGCCATTGGTGATTCCTAAAATCATAACTTCATTGAAGCTTTAAGTTCAACAAAGAACTATATCCCATCCTCAACTATAAAAATATCAGGAATCGTGCCAACAAAATATGATAGGACTCGAGAGAGGCGTTGATGATGATACCTAGAAATGGAAAGTGTATTGAAGCTTCAATTTTGGGGGGAACTGTTTGAAACGTCCCTCTGAAAAGCCCTGAAAGTGCCGGAAAGGAAAGAAAAACGTCTTCTCCGTTGATGACGATATTGCTTATGCTGTTTGTCTCATTGTGCTAAACTGCTAATTATTGTTAAGACGTTGCCAGTTGATCAAATGTATCTTGAATGTCAGAATCTTGTTAAGAAAAACTGGTTTGATGAAGTCATATACGAAGAACTCCCTATATACTTAAAATGTAATCAAAGAAGTATTTTTTTTAGAAAATGGAAACTAATAATCCAACTTTTTAGCGGTTTTCTTACAATAATCCCACATTTTCGTTATTCATGAATAATCCAACATTTGCACCTCGTCTTCATTCACCGGTCCCTGACCGGTTGATGACCTGCTATTCCAAGTTATTTTCTTATCTTTGCAAACCATTATACCATAAATCTCACCTTTCACAAAGATAATCTTTTGCAAAGATAATAAAATAACTTGGAATAGCGGGTCATTAACCGGTCAGGGACCAACGAATGAAGATGGTGTGCAAAGGTTAGATTATTCTTGAATAACGAAAATGTGGGACTATTGTAAGAAGACTGCTAAAAGGTTGAATTATTAGTTTCCATTTTTCTTTTTTTTTTTAAACAGGTAACTTAATATTTAATAAACCGGAAGATCCTATACAAAGTTGCCATGAAGGAAAGTTTAAAGGAATCAAAAAAGTATTAGACCCCATTTATCTCTATATAAAAAGAGATGGATTTTCTGGCGGGTTTCCCGCCCAAAATTCCGGGTCGGGTACATGATATGGGTAAAGTATCATTTCTACGATAAAAGTTTGGTTTATGAAGCTCTCCTCTGGAAATATGTTTTGCTCTGTAGTATTTCGATGTGACAATACCGAGTTTACCATAACAAAGCAAATATTTTTTTGGGGATTCTGATTTACCAATTTTTTACATTTGATTTAGTATCTCGAATACGAAGAGTACATGATTAATGTTGGTCTAATGGTCTGTGAAGGGTGGTCTAATGGTCTGTGAAGGGTTGTCCAATCAAACTTCATGTCATCAAAACTCAAAAGACGTCGCATAGTATTGACCATTGAGCAATTAGTTAAGCATAATTCATTTGATGAAATAATGGCATCCTCTGAAATATCTCAAAGGCATGATAGCCCAGTTAAAATATTTCAGCAGAGTATTGACCTGATAACCCAAAGGTTGAATGAGACATTGCATAGCAGAACCTAAGTTATGCATAATAATGGCATTTCTAACACTGTACTCCTTCCGCCCCGTTAACAATGAGACAAGAGGGAGTGACACGCAAATCTATAAAAAATGATTTATGTGGTTGATATTGAATTTATAAAGTAAGAATAAAGTAAGAATGTTAGAGTCACACAAACTTTACCAAATAAGGTATGAGACAATCTTAGTAAGACGGACCAAAATTGTAAAATGGGACAATCTTAGCAGGACGAAGATAGTAGTACGTATACATCCTAATTTATAAGTTAAGCAATACAGCATCGGCGATTTGAGGGAGTGTTACCATGCCACTGAAGTTCAACCGCATGCCAATGGGTATTATAATCCGAAAAAATGTCATGGGCTGTCCAAAATGGCTACAAATATTTAAAAACTAACATGGGTTGTGCCTAAAATGAATTATTGTAATTACATCATTATTACGGAGTATTATTTTATTACTATTACTATTACTACTCATTCCGTTTCATTTTATGTGATCTACTTTGGTTTGACACAATTTTTTATAAAGTGATTGAAAGAATATTTATGGTTAAGATTTGAGTGTGATAAAGTGAAATGTAATAGACCACATATACTACGTATCTTTCTAAAAAATAATGTGACACTTATTTTGAGAAAATTAAAAAAAAAAGTAAAACATGTAAAACGGAATGGAGAGAGTATTATTATCACCACCACCACCACCATCATCATCATCATCATCATCACTACTACTGTTTTTATTATTTTTACTATTCATATTATTACTTTATATTAACATTTCGAGCCTGTTTGGTAATATACAAATCGACTGTGTTGACTGATTTTGCTGAAATTTTGTTATGTTGGAACTGTGAAATAATGGGAAAGAGGTACTCCAATAGGAGTCCTGACAGATATATTTATAATAGAGGAGTTGCCAAAATACAAAGTATTCCTAAATAGATATTAGACAGATTCATAAATATATATTAGGCAGATTCCTAAATATATTAGTCTATTACACCCCCTCAAACTGTGCGGGAGATACAACGCGCAGGTTGTCCTTTAAAAAATGAAATTGCAAACTAAAAAAACTCTAAATATATCCATGAGCGGAAGATTAGAAGGCACATCTTTGATAATATGATCTCCATGAGAATATATGTCTGCAGCAACAAGCGGCGAACTCAACAGCGCGCTTGAAGCAAGCACCGTGGTCAGCGACACAGAGAAGGTGGGCTGCGCAGACATAGGCAGCAGCAGGCGGCGAACTCAACTGCACGTTAGAAGCAATCACCGTGTTCAGCGACACGAAGAAGGTGATCTGCGCCATATTAGCCGCGCTCATCTTCAAAGGATCAGAGACTACCGTAAATGTGGCGGTAGTCGACCTCGAGGCGGCGGCGGCTATAATAAGGTTCATGGGAACCGAAAAAAAAAAGAAAAAAATTGTACCTACAAACCTAGAGCTCTTGATACCATGTGAAATAATGGGAAAGAGGTACTCCAATAGGAGTCCTGACAGATATATTTATAATAGAGGAGTTGCCAAAATACAAAGTATTCCTAAATAGATATTAGACAGATTCCTAAATATATATTGGGATTGAAGTGGTTGAATTGTTGACTCTGCTGATGTATGAAAAAATATTGAAAATAAATTTTATTAATTGAATAAAGAAAAAATTATATGAAAAATAGCTTAAACTATCTTTTACAGTAACTCCAGCCAATACACTCGGAAAAGTAACACAAACCTCATTTATTCTCATTATTACACAATTTAACGCGTGAAATCAAAATTACGTATTTGGTGAAAAGGTTGGTTGATGAGTCTGATAAGCCGAAAAACATGGTCGGCTCTTAATTGTTTTTGGCAAGAATTGTTTTGATAAATATTTAGGTTCTGAATTACAAATGAATTTCTTGAAATTTATGTTATTTTATTATATCATCTATTGTAATTAAATTTATTAGGATATCACTGTATGAATTTGTTTTTATATCGAACAAGAAAGTGTGAGCTTTAATCACACACCAATTGTAAACAATGAAAAAAAAAAGTCTAATTGCACAATTGCTTTAGGTAAAACGTGAATATGTTTTGTTTTTAATAGCATGGTCATAAAAAATAATTTTTTAGAGAAGATGATTTTTTGTTTCAATAGCGGGGGGTTGATTTTTCAATGTAACTCGTGTTATTACAAATGTAACTCGCGTTGGTGGCAGATGTAACTTGGGTGTATACAGAATGTAACTTGTTGGAAAATTGAACAATGGTTTTTTTTTGTGTTTGAGATATTATAAACATTGATTTCAATGTAAACAATGAAAAATTGATCCTAATAGCTTAATTACTTTTTTAAAATAGTTGAATATGTTTTATTTTTAATATTAGGACAATAAAAATGATATAGCAGGGGTTTATTCCGTGGTGTAACTCGCATACATTAAGATGTAACTCGCATACATTAAGATGTAACTCGCATATATTAAGATGTAACTCGAGTACATTAAGATGTAACTTGCGCAGAACAAGTTGTAACTTCATGATATATTATCAAATGTAACTTCAAGAATCAAAATAAACAAATTCAATGTCTTAAAAACTTCTAAAAACATATAAAAGTGATAAAAATTTATTTCTCATAAAAGTTTATAGAAAAAAGAAATTGTAATCATATTTTAATAATCTTGATCATGTTTTTAACATTTTAATAAAAGAGATTAAATAATTGAAGAAGAATATAAAAGAAATAGAAGATAGAAAATCAGGAAGAATGGCTAAACGAAGGGAAAGCAGGGAAAGGTAGTGGAAGTTTCTTATTCGTGATTTCAGCATAGGAATCATGATTTCAAATTCCCTGTAATAGAAAATATAGCGTTCTTATGCGACAACTGGAGAAGGAAGCGGTGCGTGGGAATGGCAGCGGAAAAAAGTGCAGTGGAGAAGATTAACGACCGACTATTGTGGAGAACTGGAGAAGATATTTGAGTTGTTTTTAATTACTAAAACAATGTCGTATTGGGACCGGTATACCATGCTCATGGTATACCGGTCGCACGGTATAATTTGCGATAGAGCAACTCTTATCTAGACTAGACTAGATAGACATCACACCCATTGGGGATGCTCTTTAACGTAAAGTAATTTTTTGCATTTTATTATCTTAACATTAACACAATTTTCTATACATTCACACTTCCACTTTCATACTATTTATCCAATATAAATTTATAATACACACACTACTTCAATTGCATTGAAGATAATAATTTTAAGATAATCTTATATCAAGAATCTAGTTAGATCAATGAATATGGTGTTGTTTGGATCTAATTCATAAAACTGTTTCTGCTCCTTCAGGGAGCAGAAGCAGAAACCGAAAAGTTTGGGTGAAAGTGCATAAATGATTCTGGTGCTCTAATTTATTCCTAGAATCAGTTTTTTAGAAGCTGGAGGGACCAGCTTCTGAAAACTGATTGTGCTTCTGTTTTAAAAAAGAAGCAGAAGCAGAATCAGTTCCAAACACCCCCTAATCCCTATATACTCTTGGGTGTATATTGTGTTCTGATATTTTTTACTCGATATTTAGCTAAATTTTATTAGGGCTGGGACTTAGAACCGAAAACCGGGAAAACCGATCCGAACCGAACCGAAATTTCCGGTTCGATTTGGTTCCTATAATTTTGGACTTCACTTTTTTTCGGTTCGGTTCCTATAGTCTTTCATCGGTTCGGTTCCGGTTCGGTTCCAGTTCGGTTCCGGTTCCTGGCCAGGAACCGAACTTCTCATACACTGCATGAGTAATCTTCATTTGAGGTGTTAACGGGTGGAATTTTTCGATGAAATTTTGTGAGGTTGTTTTCTATTAAATAAAGATTATATCCACCAAATTTGAGCTTAAAATGCAATCGGGAAGTTAGTTAAATAAATTATTGAAAAACATTACGCCAAAATATATAAAAAACACAATGTTTTCAATATTTTATTTAACTCACTTCCCGATTGAATTTTAAGCCAAAATATCTAATCTACATTTCATGTAGAACATGCTCACAAAACTTTATCAAAAAAATCTTCACGGAAGTACCTCAAATGAAGGCGGTCAGACGGCGTTCCGGGTAAAAAGTTATTGTCAAGAATATTATTCTTGCATAATATATACCTTATATATTGTGGACCACGCCAATCTGAGTAGTTATCGTTTTAATACTTTAGTCCATTTTTATATTTAGTTTTTGTTTGTAATTAAATTTGTTATTAGAGTTCACTACAAAAAAGAATTAACATTTTGTTGATCACGTTGTTTATTACTACGTAGTTTTTGCTTATTGTGCATTACTAGAAGAAGAATATTATTTTGAAGTTAAACTACCTGCTATTGGATGTGTACTCTGGGGCTATTGAACATTTTTGCTTGACAGTTGATGCCTATTTTAAATCGAAATTTTTATTATGTTTAAATTTAATATTGTACTTGGATATGTCTTTGGATATTTGAACATTGAGATATCATGCATTTATAATGTAATGATCATAATTTCGTGATTTAAAATTTGAATTTTTTATGTGACTGAAGTGTGTTCATTTTAGGAGGATAGTGAATTTTTGTTAGGAACCGAAAAAAGAACCGAACCGAATTTAACTAGAACCGAACCGAATTTAACAACTACATTTTTAATTAGAACCGAACCGAATTTAACTCTTACGATTTTTATACGGTTCCATCGAATTTTAACAAGAACCGAACCGATCCCATGCCTAAATTTTATCCCCAATTATCATCAAACAATCACAAATTTATTCCACACTTTCACTTTTAATAAAAAAGACTACTTCAACTTTCTTCTACACTTTTCATAGATGAATTTTATTCCTAACTATCATCAAACAAACACAAATTTATTCCACAATTTCACTTTTAATAAAAAAGACTACTTCAACTTTCTTCTACACTTTTCACGGGCGGAACCAGGGGCGAGCCGGTGGCGCCGCGGGCCGGCGGACCTCCCAGATGCAAAGAGCGAGAGAGAATCAGGGGCACAGCTTTGTTTTTATTAATTCAATACACAAAACGACGTCGTTTAATAAAGTGCTTACGAAATGGTTAAACGGCGTCGTTTCGTTCAAAAATTGATATGCACGCTTGAGTCTTGACCTTCCGATTCTGGGTCGTAAAACAACACCCTCGCCGGTCGCGTCTGCAACTCCAGCCGGCCGCCTATCCAGGCGCCAGTCGCAGCCTTGCAGAGCCGCCGCGACGCCTCTGGTCTCCCTAGAATTTTTTTTTTGATCAGGGCATCAGGCATCTCCGACGCAATCACGCAGCACTGGGCAGCAGGTTTAAATTATTTTGCAACTTTGCAAGTTTATTACTCCCCGTCCCGAATTATAAGATACTTTTCGGTTTACGATGTTTGACCGACGATAAAGCAAATGGATCCCTATCTGCACTCAAATTATTTTTAGAAACGAAAAATTACATATTCAGAAACTACATTAAAATCGCTACAAAACCTGTAAAAAATAATTCAAATTTCATAAAATTTTGATATATAAAGTAAGAGATTAAGAGTGATATGTGTTGACAGAGGGACAGAGAGAGTAATTAAGAGTGGTTTTATAAAGATATCTTATAAAATGGGACAGAGGGAGTAATTAGTTACTCGATTGCTTCAAATCTTCAATTGCTTTTAAAGTTAATTGATTAATTGTTTGAATTGGTATAAAGTTGAAATTGATTGTGCAATTTTTTTATTAATTTTTTTAATTGCTCTAGTTGCTTCAAATTTTAATTGATTGTAACTATTTTTTTACCAGATTGATTATACGTAGTAACTATTTAAGAATTTGAAGTTGAAACTTTTTCAACTTGTTAGTTTACTAAGGTGATCATGTCTATTTTGCAATTTGTAATACTTTTAGCCACCCCTTTATTTTCGTTCTGGTTCCGCCGCGGCGCCGCCGGATGAGTTTAGCAAAACTTAAGAAGAAAATCATATTAATATTTCATATTTTTCATTTCTTTCAAGTTTTAAGCCTAAAAACTTGTATTGCTAATATTTTATTGGTGTTGATAAAAATGTGTAATTTTGAAACAACAAAACAGAAAAGCATAATTGTTGAAAAAGTTCAAGTTTGATTTTTATTTATTTATAAAAGTCAAAGAATAGGATAGATTTGTGAATTTGATGATACTTTGAGATAAAATAAGCTAATAATCCTAAAAAAATTGTTAATATTATGTGTGATAGAGTAATTCTAGAGAGATGTGAGAGCTAGAGAGATAAAGTGAGTAATTATATTTCTCAACCCCCTATAATTAGCCCCTTGGGGTCTATTTATAGGTAAAAATGTGGATTTGGGCCCCCCTAGCCTTGGGCTTAGGAGGCCCATTATAATAATCATGCCTTCTTTGGGCGAATAGGGACATTAATGGGCTGGGTACAACACTTAGTAGATAAAATAGGAAAATACATTTTGTCTAGACGAAGTCCGGACGATGCGGTCCATGAACGATGCGGTCCGTGGACAATGCGGTCCATGGACGATGCGGTCCGTGGACGACGCGAACCATGGTTGTGCCCTAAGGGACCCAAGTGATGTCTTCTTCTTTAGACGTTGCGGGCCTCTTGCCGATGCGGGTGTCACGTGGGTGTCCTGTTGGTGTCTTTTGGGCCGTTGAGTATGTGAGCCATGGGGTCCAGGCCCGTATACTCTATCAATGTGTCTACAATTTGGTGTCTTTTGAAATGTAAGAACTTAAAACATCAAACTTCCTAAATGAAACCTGCAGCCTAGAGGGGGAGCTTTTTTGTTTGAACAGTTTTTTTCCTTTGTCAAACTTTCTTCCTAACTCGCAGATTCCAGAGTTTAACTTCATATATAAGCACCTATCTCTTTCTCCCGTTGTCCGAGATATGTATGTGCCTTCCTCTCGTTGTATGTTCACAGTTCACCTTTCTTGTAAAGCTTATTAATTTAGGGTCCATTTGGTAATATTTCCATAAAGAAGCACATTGTTCATCCTGATGTGATTCTTTGGGAACTTGTCTCTCTTTAAACTGGTGGATTTTTTTCCTATTGAATTTGTGTTTTCTGTACCTTTGAGTTGATGCTCTGTTAGTGTGGAGCACACTTGAACAATTAGCTACATTTGTTTAGTGTGTCCAAGTGACTTGCTGTAGGTTTGACCATCCAGACTTCAACTTAGTTAAAATATCCACACTTGAACGATTAGCTAATAGATACATTGTTTATTGTTTCAAAGTGAGATGCTGTAGGTTTGACCCTCCAGACCCCTCAACATAGCTAAAACATCCACAATCTCTTAGGATGATTAACAGAGCCTGAAACTCATCGGAGTTAGCAACTGCTGGTTTCTCAAAAAACAAATGTTGAGTTTGTTGTGTTTTAGTGGACCCACCTTCAACTTCAGGTCCTACATTTTAAGTACTAAAGATGTTTCAAACATTAGTTGAAAATGAACAGCTTAAGCTTTGATGGAACATACGATATTAGTTTACGTTATATCTAGGCAAGTATGATAGCATATTATACTGGACCCGTGGACCACAAGATTGTTATCTAAACTATTAAGCTACAATTGCACATTGCACACCGTCACGATGCATATGTATTCTGCATAGTATTGAATTTTGATATGTTGGGCTCCTAAGATGTGCAATCCTGGGTTGTATGGGCGCATAGAAATTCTTACAGTTCTTTTTTACTCTTATCTTTATTTAAAAACATTCCAATACAACAACAACAACAACAACCAAGCCTTAGTCCCAAAAGATATTGGGGTCGGCTAACATGAATCGATACATGATAACACCACCAAAAGGAAAAGAATGAAAATAAAGATAAAAAATAAGCTATTATAAAAAAGATAATATAAAACGGGATGAATATACTTAAAAATGATAAAATAAAAAGGATAAAAATAATGTTTATATATATATAAGGATAAAAGAATAAAAAACAAGAAGAAAAAAGATGAGGAAGAAAAAAGATGAGACAAGAAAAAAGATTCCAATATTCCATAATAAATTTGGGACTTTTTTCTTTTATGATTCCCAATATTACAATGTTTTTATGATTGTTCTTGGCCTTCTTGGGGTATTTTGATTTGAATATTCCGTCGCAAACAGACCAGACGAATGTTTTTGCCATAGAATGGCCCCATAAGGTTTCACGCAGAACATGTCAACTAATTATTTTCATGTTATGTGATCATGTTCTATTTTTCGAGTTTTCAAGAAATTGAAGTTGCTCAAACTTTACCAATTTCTTCATCCTCTCTACCCATGCTTCCTGCACTGCACAACTTTGTTGCCCAAGAATGCTTGTTACTGAATTTAGTTATTTTTTGTTAATTTTTTCAAACAACAACAATGAAGTTAGGACTGTTGGTAAGAGTTATTTGACTGAATTGACTAAATGTGCTCAAGTTTTCATAGAAATAATGACAAATATGTGACTAAAATGAAAGTAATGGACATAAATATGACTTTTAATATGGTCATACAGTGAGCATATTAGTATATTCACAGTGACTACAGTCACTATGTAATCACGTTTTTCCATTACTTCTATTTTTAATACTAGTGGAAAAACTCCTTTTAATATTAAGAAAAGTGTATTGTAACATATATTCCAGCCAGCTAAAACAGTCAAAGGCTGCTTATCTGGCTGAATATAAACAAAAGGAACATTTTTTCTGTGGGTTGATTTTTATCATGTTTTCGTTATTTGAAGCTCCATTATTTAGCATGACAAAGATGATGGTGGTGGACCATGGGAATAATGAGTCCGAGGACAGAAAAAGTGTTTCTTTTGCGCGTACCTCAACCAGCTCCAGCTCTTCACGGACCAGTCCATCTTGTTTCCCCCAGCAACTGGAAATTGACAGTGGAAATGAATCAGTATCAGAAGCAGGAGATATTGGGGACAGGGCACTTAGCAGCAATAGGTACAGTCATAGTGGTAGGCTGTTTTTTTCAGTTGAGAATGCAGCAGAAAGTGGTCTAGTTGTACCTATTGCAGAGGAAGGGGTGTGGTCCCACACTGTCTCTCCTTTACCAGCTGATGCGATCATAAAATCTGGAGATGGAACAAAGGTGAATCCCCTGATGTATTGGCTATTTTAAAATATGGTCCTTTGGTTGCTAATTGAATTAATTTGTATGCAGAATTCCAATGAAGAGGTGCCATGGTGGTTGGAATATATTTCAAGCCTATTGTTTCTGGCTGTTTTCGGAATATTAGGGGTAAAATGCTCACACAATTCACCTTGTAGATAGGTTGACTCAGAACCATGTTTATCTACTGTTGCATTTTCCGTCCCCTTCATGTATCTATTTCTTCACTGATTGGAGAAGAACTTGTTTTAGTACCTTACCAAAGATGCAAGATGAAAGAATTATGCGATGAATGACTTCAATGTCTTCCAGGCATGAGAATGAAGAACATATTCTTGACAACTTCACAATTTAAATACCTATATGCATGTAATCCATAACTTCAATATTTGCCACTGACATTTTTTGCATCAATTTATTTATTGGCTCAAATCTATCCTAAAAGTGTGATCTAACCAAGTTAACAATCTTCGTACTCATTATAAGACATACTGTAGAGACCTAACACTCTATATACACTTTATTTAATGTGAAATTGTTGATACATTCTTCATTATTATGTCTTGTAATGAGTATGAAGAGTAATTTTTTAGGTAAAAAGGAAAAAAAGAGTTATTATGGTTTGGCTGGATCATTATTTCTGGCCAAATTTGACATTTACAGTATATACTAATTTTAGATCATTATTTGACAAAAACCAATTTCAGGCCACTGATCAACATAGTTGGGGGATTAAGGTGATGGTGGTGTCTATAGTATGCATTTTGTCACTTCGCTGGTTTTCTGTGTCATTTATTCTGGAAGTCATCCTTTCTGTTCATATTATCTGCAGGTATTGCTGAGGTATGCTCTTGAGCTATTGTTTGGGCCAGGAAATGTGGGCGCTACGAGTGATCAAAGCTATATGTATCTTGATCTTCCTCCTAATATGGTATCACCTTCTTACTATTGGCACATTCTAATGATTGAAACGGCTGATAAGTGATAAGCCATGTTATTCTTTTGCTACTGATTCCTCTCAATTAGTGACCACTTGAGCAGTCTTCATGAACGAGATGAAGTTTCTGGAGCACGCACACAGCTTGACTTAAAGAAGAGAAGTTGTCCTGTGACTAGACGAATGAAACACATATTTAGCTATTTAGCTTGTCCGTAAATGAATCTTTGGTGGGAGAGCTGGAAAAAAGGACCCTGCATCAACACATTGTCTAATAATTACTGCTTAACTATGTCATATGGAGTATGCTGTAAAAAAGTACAAATATATACCTGGGGTGGCATATTATGCACTACTCTCTCTCTCTATACCATTGTCCTGTGACTAGACGAATGAAACACATATTTAGCTATTTAGCTTGTCCGTAAATGAATCTTTGGTGGGAGAGCTGGAAAAAAGGACCCTGCATCAAGCCATCAACACATTGTCTAATAATTACTGCCTAAATATGTCATATGGAGTATGCTGTAAAAAAGTACAAATATATACCTGGGGTGGCATATCATGCACTACTCTCTCTATATTATTCCATACTATCAATAAAAGATGTATCTAGGAACTGTATACTCCGTATAATGGTACCATTGTCCGTTTGGGGAAATGGAATCAAGTATAAACCTTCATTAACTGGACCTGCATATATTCTAGTTTTATTATTAATTGGAGTCATGGTCCAACAGATCGAATGATAGATTGACAATGTTTTACGTATTCATTGATTATATTAGTTCTTGCACCTTCCGTTTTGATTTATTCTTCTCATTTAATTGTTTGTTTGACATTCACAGGTTGGTTCATTTTTAATGGGGTGGTTTGGAGTGGTTTTCAAAGCAGAAATTTCCAAAATTTCGGAGCAGCTGGCTATTGGATTATCAACTGGTTTTCTAGGAAGCCTTACTACGTTTAGTGGTTGGAACCAAAAGATGCTTGATCTTAGTGTCGAAGGTCGATGGGTTTTTGCAATGCTTGGCATTCTTCTTGGTATATGCTACATCTGCTTCTTTATTCTTCTTTTACCTTCTTTATTCTTCCTTTATTGTGATTAAATTTAATGAGCTTAATTGGGTCAGTGACACAATCGCACAACCATTAACCTTTGTTTACTTATGACGTAATGAGATATTCGACTTATTCATTCAGCCAACGGTTAACCTAATCATTCAATCTTGATATAATTGATCTTTTCCATTCAGTTATGTATTCAGCCAATTTAGTTTTTGTTTTAGAAACCACGATGAAACAGATGTTTGTTTATAAGTGAGATTACTTATTGGCAAGACAACCCAAAGATAACCTTAAATTGGTTATTTTACTGTTCAGGCTGTTTATTCAGCACACAACTTAAACAGATCCTTACAAAGACCACTTACTCTAGAGTAGAGACATATATCTTATTGATTAAAAGAAGTAAACCGCCCCTAAGATAACATTGACAATAATCGTCATTAGAGTTTGATGGAATTTGTCATTCTGGTAGGATTGTTTCTCGTTGCCTACTCCATCATTTTTGGTATTGAGACTGCAAAAGGTGTTCGACTTGTTTTGAAAAGAGCGAATATAAATCCAAGCTCCTGGAAGGTGAATAGTCTCAAACGGCATTTGGCAGTCTCAGTAACGTTGCTACTTACTCTGGCTACTCTATGGAGTGTGTGTATAGCCGAGGAAATAAAGGTATTTAAAAAGGGAAACAGCGAATCCCGACTGTGGTTGGGATGCCTTGTTGGACCATTTGGTGTTTGGATCAGGTGGTTCTTAGCACGGTTGAATGGCCGTGGTTTTGGAAAATCAGGATTGTTGAAATGGGTACCGTTTGGCACCTTAATTGCCAATGTCTCTGCAGCCTGTGTCATGGCCTCACTAGCAGCCTTGAAGAAAGCTGTAAGTTTTTTTCCAAGCTCCGCATTATTGATATGTATTGCCCCCCTTCCCCCCTTTTGTTGCGCATAGGTCTTCAGACCAATTCGGTGGCCCAAATAAAATTGCTGACAATTTGGGCTTGTTTGGTAAAATTATTCATCTAGTAACTTATTCTGCTTATTTTCTTATCACCAGACAGGAGTAAGTAGCATTTGACTTATCAAGCGCTTTTAATTCCAGAAAATTCAGCCATTGAGCAAATAAAATTTTACCAGACAAGCTCTTAATGATTCATAACCAAATATAATCACGTTTGGAATGACATGAAATCACTGATTCACAGAAATCATTCAAAAACCCCATGGTATGTGAAAGTGCATGAAATGCTTTTACTTGCCTCTCTTAATATCTGATATCAAAAACCCAACTTTGTGAGGATAAAGTTTTGGGTGAGTTAGCCACTTAGGGCCTAATTTGATAGCCCCCCCACTCCCCAATTTCAGGATATGATAAACCTAGGTTCTGGGTTTATGGAATCCAATCACAGGCAGCACAACCTATTAAAATCCAAACAAGACCTAGCGTTTTCATTTGGATTACACCAAGTCGTGGTATTCTCCATTAACTCATGAATTGTTACGGGTTTGAGTACACCAGGTGAAAACAAAGGACTGTGATACGGTGGTTGCTGGCGTTCAGTTCGGGCTGCTGGGTTGCCTTAGTACAGTGTCTACCTTTGCTGCTGAATTTCATGCCATGAGAGAGAGCAAACAACCTTGGAGAGCATATGCATATGCTTTTACTACAATTATCTCATCTTTCATCCTAGGGACTCTATTATATTCTGTACCAGTGTGGGTGAAGGGTTATTACTGATTCACCAAGTTTGTATAGAATGATCAAGTAAAGCTCAACTTTGAAATAATCATATCAATGTTATTTAAAATAAGTGAATAAAAAAGAAATAAGAGAAAAGTTCAGTACAAGGTCACCGAGGACACAGGCTCAAAATGATTTTATTACAAGATTTGATTAATAGAAATGCAATTAAAAATCCAGATACTTCATTACTGAGGAAGCTTGTTTAGCTTACAATAAGCAAAATCCTTGTACTTTTTGGTCTTGTATTTTGCTGGATTCTTCTCGTCAATCAGCTTGGGAATAGGACCAACTTCAAATTCAGGTGGTGGCTCCAGGAAAACCGGCCAAGACATTCTTGCCTTTTCCTTGTTCACTGTCGTCCTGTGCAACACACTTTTGTATTTTCCATTGCTGAGGATCTGTCACAAACCAAATGGTAAATATTCAAGAATGACCAAACTATATTTCTATTAGTTTCAATGTAAAAAAATATGTCTGCTTTCAATATTTCCAAAAAAAGAGACTAAATCGTTTCCAGCTCTTTATCTGTCTCTTTTTTGCTCCCACCGCCCATGTAAGTATCAAAACATCGAATCATTTTGAATTAAATAATTCATACGTTGTATGTAGGTGGAATAAATGTTATTTTAAATGAGTCTTAGAAAATTATTGCTTTGATACATATCTTATATACTGCGTATATAAACTTCACGTAGCTAAGGAATGAAATAAGATGATATTTTTGAAATTTGGGAATATAACTATCATTATGAATCAAGTTGCATTCACTTCAAGTTTAAATGTTGGTGATTCTTCAGAAATTATAACTATTGACTCGTAATGACTATCAGAGTCATAATATATCAAGACCATGATATTTCAATGCCCTAACTTTCAAGTTTTTAGAGGGGTCAGCAGACCACCCTAACCCCCCTTGGCTCCGCCCCTGCCACCACCTCCCTAGCTACTAATGCTGATCCTATCTTTCCAAACTTTGCCGCAAGAGAGCAGAAAAAGCACAGGCCCGTGTGTTAGTAACATGCTAGAAGTCACATGTTTAGTCACTTTTTGCAGGAGTAATATTTAAACAGTAGTCATTATTGTATTTGTAATATTAGAGGGAAGACTTCAATATTCATAACTGCCTTTAAATGAGGAAAATCTAAAATCAGCCTTTGGCTTCAGTATGGTGAGGACTTGCAACCCCAATGTTGGATTGCTTTGAAAGGTTCTAATAGAATCTATGTGAGTTGTTAAATGTAATCCAATGATAAATTGTCTGCCCTTCCAGACAAGCTCTCATGAACGCGAAGGAGACCGCTGGGATTATTTGTCACGTGCTTATATCATAAAAACATTTTATAAATCAAGTGAATTTTGCAATGGTATTACATTCATGCCAAGTGAATTTACTATGATTGTTATAATTGTTGCTATTTTTATTATTGTTGTTCTTATTGTTGTTGCTTCACCCCCACGACTCCTACTATCATCTTCGTTTGAAACCATTTCCTCACATCATGGGGTTGCAATGGTGCATTGTCTTATACACTCACTATTTTAAGTGAGAAAGATTGTGATCTAACATCTAAAAGTGGAATACCCATAACTTTAATAGATACATAAGCATTTTGTCCCTCAATCAATAAATGTGTGTGAATAAGATGAATACAACTGAAGTAGAGTACATACCTCAATTTGGTCACCAATGTGGATGATAAGGGCATTTGGGATATACTTAACATTGTACCAATGTTCATCTTTGAAGACTTGGAGACCTTGGACTTCATTTGGTACAAGAATGGTGATGGCTGACATGTCGGTGTGGGCCACCACTCCGAGCGCCAAGTCTGGTCGAGGGCAGGGTGGATAATAGTTGATTTTCAATAGGTATTCTAAGTCGTCACCTCCTACAGCCTCCTTCAGCACATGGCCTTCCAGGCCCAGGCTAATTGATAAGCTTCTCAACAACTCATTTCCCACCTTTTCTAGTCTCTTGGCGTATTCCTCATTTGCTTCCCTGCATATTCAAAAACTCTGTTTCAGTTTTTACCGGTTCACCCCTCTTTGTAAGTAACCTTTAATTTGATTTTCATGTTTTATGAATGCCATGTTTTGATCATAAACTTTTTTATTATGTTCGCGTAAAATATAAAGGTAGTAGTTTCTGTCCTAGAATAAGGTTCCCAAACGACTTTTGAGGCCAATTTAACTCTTCGAATAGTGTAAACAGAGTAATATATATATAATATCTAATAAATAAACATACAAACATACTAGTATGATTCATAACTAGTTAAATAAGGCATGCATACATGCATTAAATAATCTAAAGGCTTCAATTTTTTGGATGCTGAACATATAACTTGAGTTATACATGAAAAAAAAGTAAGACTTATTGTTAAACGGAGTAAGTATTTACATTTTCTTTCAAAATTATGAGTGAGTGCCACATTTTGGATTTTATTTAGATGTTCCAAGTTTCGATTTTGATCAATTTTAAACCGGTTGAAGAATTAAATACAAAATAAATTCAAAATAAATTCAAACATTGCTTGGTTTGATACGGTACAGTTTAATTTGACTTGATCAAACAGATGCTCCTAATGTTTGATAAATAAATTTTTTATTTAGTTTTTTAATATCAAATAAAAAAATGAATGCCGCTCTCGGTACCTTTTACAGTTTTACATCATTTATTGATTTCATATTTCAAAATCTAATTGACCATCTAATTTACTCACCATAACTATTTTAAACTAATTTTTAAAAAATACAATAAAAAAAAGCGAATAATAACAATGTAATAAAGTAAAATTTTGTATTAGTTATTTACTCAACAACAACAATCATGTTTTATTTTCAAAAGAGTTTAAGATCAGCTAATTAGCATTAATAGACATATGAAATTGAAGTTCAAAATGATAAATAGAGAAAAGGGAGATAGTTATTTTCACTACTCCGTATTGTACTGTAACTAAATAATCTTTTTGTTTTTGAAAAGAACCAAGTCATCTAAAAATAGTCAAATAAATGAGATAGTAACACAACAAGTGCATTATTATTACGTAGTAGTTAGCAACTAACTACTTATTGCCGAACGACTCTATGCAATCTATAATTAAGATTTTTTCACATATTTCCACAATTTCAGACATAATTAAGTTTTTGAGAACAGCGTAAGTGCGTAACTCTAAAAAAGATTATTGACATCTGTTTTATTTTATAGAAAAAACATACACAATTCCATTCATATAGGAGTTGTCTAAAGTAGTTGGGAGGAATGGGTGACGGTAAGTGTAATAGAGTCATGATGATGGTGCGGCTTCAATTAGGTAGGGAAGAACAAGTTGTCTTTATGACTGTGTTAGTCCGACAAAACGTTTTAAGTTTGATTTAAATGTAGAATAATAAAATAAATATTGTACGTACAATTGAAATTTGTAGTGAATTGAAAGGTCTAAAATGGGGAATTTAGCCAAATAAAATGAGACTTTGCTCATGTCAATTTTGTGCGTCATATAAAAAAATCCTTTACTTTGCACAATTCATAAATTTTTCTTAACAAAATGTTATGTTTTGGAGCATAAAATCAAAATAGTTTTAGAATCAGATGCAAAGTCCAATATCATATCATCTAAAAAGCTTGGATAAAAAATGGTGATGAGTGAGAATGGAAGGCATTTGGATGAAAGGGATGGAGAAAGAAAAGTTATAAAGTACCTATAGGAAGAAGGGGTTTTAGGCCAGAATTTGTAGTTAACAGCTGAAGGTGGCAAAACCTTGTGAAACAAGTGGTCAACCCAGCCTCTCTTCCCCTCCATGTCCTTCTGCAGAGACGTCCCGTACCCCTCGATCCCGCCGTCCTTCGCCACCGCCTCCTTCGCCTCCTGCGGCAGCTCGAAGAACTCCTTCCCCACCCTCTGCAGCTCCCTGATCACCTCGTCCGATATCCCGTGGTTCACCACCTGGAATATCCCCCACTCCCGGCTCGCCTCCCCGATCTTCTCCGCCGCCTCCTCGCTCATGTCGATCACCGGCACTTCAAGATCAACCCCCTCCACCGTCGTCACCGCCGGCTGCTCCTCCACCGACCGGATGTACTCCGCCGGAATCGTGCCCATCAGTTTTGAGAGCCCATTCGCCACCGCTTGCACCCTCTCCACCTCCATTATTAATTGTACGCTTTTGGGTTGAGCCAAGCTAGCCAGCTGCGCTCTTCTTAAGGATTTATTGTGATTACAGTCAACCGAATTATATTTCCAATTATTTATATATATATACAGAGTGTGGGAGTTTGTTAGAATGAGTGGGTGAAATTGCGTAGCCTTATGCGGTTCACTCGATAGCACACCTACTCTTTTTTGGTAACCGTTGAATCCACGGCTCTAAACACAACTTATCATACCTCATATAGTCAGACATATTAGAATATTGTAATTAAATATTTGAACATGAATAAATAATTACTCCATCCGTCCCAAAAACAACTTCAGAGTTTTACAATCACACAGATTAAGAAAATAAATTTGACTTTACTGTTGGGTGCACTGTTTTGCACTATTCAAACACTGTTTGACACTGTTTGAACACTGTTTGACGTTGTTTGGCACTCTTTTGATGTAGATAATTTGCCAAATAAGGATAGTATTGAAGTGTGAAGTTAATTTAGGGACATCCATTTAAGGAAAGTGGGAAGTTGTTTTTGGGACGAAGGGGGTATATGAATCAATTAAAATATTATAATTCTAAAAACATGGCAAAAAGATACTCCGTGACATCGTCAACAAAAATTATTCTTAGACATATAATGAGCCAATTTCAGTCGGGAAGACATACGAGATTCCAGCTTCAATCACCAAATTTGACCAAACTAACTTGTTAGCCAAATTAAATTGTAATCAACACCACAGTGACTAGAGTCCTAGCCACCTCACTCGAACCCTAGTGTTCTCCACCAGGGACGGAGCCAGGATATAACTTGGGGGGTTAGATAGTAGTTAAAAAATAATAACATTAAAATTTAAAAAAAAAACATTTTTTGATGTATTAGTATTCATCTAAAAAGATTCAAAAGTACATGAGTAAG